GTTCTCAACCTGTGGGTCACAACACCTTTTAAACAATGAAAATACATTGTGGCATTAGGAAGGTTGAGAACCACTGGCCTAGAGGCTGGCAGTGACAAACAGGGACAAGCTGAAAGGGGCTTACACTGCTGTGTGACCAGGTGACCAGTGGATCTTGAGCATATAAGGACAGTGGGCTGGGTGTGAAGAGTTGAGCTGGCCCTGTCCAGGGGAGAGATGGGGCCAAGGATTTAGGAGGGAGGTCCTGCCAGCCTTGTCCTCCCTGGGTCCTGCCTGGTCCCTCTGAGTCCCTCTTGGCTAGTGTATGAGCCAGGCAGGCATCCCAGTGGTGAGAGCCTGAAGGAAACACGTGGGTCAGTGAGTATCTTAGCAGGGGAGATATGAGGGAGGGGCCAGCTCAGACCCATGGTCTGGAGAGGACAGGAGTTGGTAAACTCTGGGAGTTTTCATTAGGGACAAAGAAGGGGCAGCTGGGAGGCTAAAGGCTGTACTGGTCAATGAGCTCAGAAGAGGACAAGGAGAGGTGGGGGTGCCTCAGTGGGGTGGACCCTTATTTTTGCAGACACCTTGGACTGTGCCTGCTTCTCTGTCATACAATGCAGAGGAAGGAGGTAAGAAGTTCATCCTGAGCCCAGGACCAGAGTGGTCTGTTTTCTCCTAACTGTGCTCAGTTTGAGCCCTGGCATAAGGGCAGGCCCTGGAGAGACCAGTGTGAACAAGAAGGTGGGCCACAGCTTTGCTGGGGGTTTGGGAGGGGGTGAGGGGAAAAGGAAGGAGAAAGGAGAAAACCTCAGATTTCTGTCACTGGCCTGCCTAGCACAGAGTTGGTACCTATGAGTGAGAGTCAATGAATAAACAAGAAGCAGACTTTCCTGCTTAGCTGGGGTACATTTATTCAGTTGCTGGCACCTCCCCTGGTATAAATCTGGACTGAGATCCAGAGAACTTGGTCATTCGCAGAGGGGGCTTAGTCTGCTTCCTGCAGTTGGAGGCGTTTCATGGTTTTGTGTATCCAGGGTAGGAAACTTGTGACCTTGGTGAAGACTCGTGGAGGACTCCCATTCTTCCTTCCATAGGAGACAATGCCCTGGGCCACATTGTCACACACCAGAGGGCCCCCGGAGTCTCCCTGTGAATAGAGGGGAGGACTGACCTGGTGCTGTCCTGGTCTTGCCCTCAGGCCCTTTCTTGGAGATGGCGAGTTTGCATGGCCCATCTGGGGGTGGGGCAGGGCAGGCCTCTGGGGGGCCCTCAGCTGATCCTGGACATTGTCACTGCTTCCCCTCACCCCAGTGACCAGCCTTAGTCCTCTTCCCCCAGGTCCTGGGGTCCTCTCCTTATAAAAGTGTGTTGAACTGTTACCTCAAGGTCACTGTTTATGGACACAGAGGCAGGTGAGTAGGGCTGACACTTAGGAGGATGAGCCTTTTCACCACACTGGGTGCCTGTTCCAGGAGCCACCTGCTTATAATTATCACCCCCTCAGGAACCACAGTTTGTTAATACCAGTGACCCGTGAGGAGGAGTGGGGGGAGGAGGGGACTGGAGTGTTGCAAACAAATCCTTCCATTCACCAGAGATCCCGTGCTGAGTGTGTAGAGGCCCCAGTTAGCTTGGGCTGCTCCCCTCTTCTCTTTCCAAGAGAAAGATGGCAGCCTAGTGGGTGAAGGAGTTCCCTACTGCTTGGGTCTCCAGATCCCTGATCTTTCTCAAACTTCCCCTTTCCAAGCACCAAGCTGGAAGATTCATTGTCTTACCTGAAAGGAACACTTTTTTAGCTTTGGGTCCCCAACACAAATCTGTATGCTCCCATTGTAGTTCTTGGGGTAGTGGGATTCACACTTCTCATCTTCCTGCACTGTCAGCGTCACCTCCTGCAGCGTGTCTGAGGATGGGCCCAGTGTAGCAATCCGGCCCCAGCCGGCCACACTGCACACCATCCCCGGTGTCACCCTGCTTGTGACCCTGGGCAGCCTGATGGGCTGCACAGCTGCAGTCCGCTTGGCCTTTCTGTCCAGCTGGTGGGGAAGAGGCAAGAAAGTCCAGGTCAGACAGTGGCCGCCTGGGCCCAGGCACTATGCTAGGGCTGACCCTCCTTCCCTCCCCTCTGAGGCATAGGAACTGGTCAAGCAGCCAGGATGGACAGGAGGGAAGAAGGGACAGCGTCACAGTGGGAGGGGCAACAGGGCCAGGTAGAGAGAGAGCAGCAGGAGTTTGCCTCACCTGCAGCAGCATGATGTCATTAGTGTAGACCTCAGAATCATAGTCTGGGTGGGGAATGGCTTTTCTCACATGGATGAACTGCTGGGTTTTCTCCTGTTCCTTGATGTTGTGGGCTCCCAGGGTGACATTCATGGAGCTACACAGAGAGCACAGTTAGGAGAAAACAGACCACTCTGGTCCTGGGCTCAGGATGAACTTCTGGAGCTGCACAGAGAGCACAGAGGGGCTGAGGGCATGTGAAGTCACAGGGTACAGCCCAAGAGTCATGAGGACCAGATGACAGCCAGGGCAGGGCTACAGCTGAGGGGAAATTGAGGGGACAGGAGGGCCCCAGGAAGTGGAATTCTGGTAAATTGCACCAGTGGTTCTCAGGACTCAGTTCTCTCCCCAGGAAAACATGTGAAATTGCTTTAGTTTCTGTTCTTACACCAAAGCATGCCCCCAGCTCTGAATATGGCAGGTGTGACCACTCTGTTCTTCCCTCACTTCAGTGGTGCCTCTGACCCTAACCTTCCCCTCTCCTCATGGGACTTACTGCCCTCTTTCTCTAAGAAGCCCTCCTGGCACTTGTGTTCCTGGGAAAAAAACAGTGGTCTCTATGGAGTATTTTCCAGAGGGCCTGGAAATCTCCTCCTCACCTGCCGTTGCAGTGAGCAGCTGTCAGCACGAAGTCTTTTCGTATCAGGAAACCACCACAGTACTTCGGTGTCCGTTGATACCAGTACTGAAGATAGGCCATGTAGGGGCGGGAGTGGGGTTTGGCCTCATGTCCCCCGATGATCTCCCCTAAAGGAAAAGTCTGTCTGCTTGTGTGCACCCACTGAGCCCACCACCTGGCATCTGCTGAATGCAGCAGAAGGACCAGGCATCCGGGAGCCTTTGGTGGCCTGGAGTTGGAGGGGGTGGGGGGAAGGGCTTCAACTTCCTCCTCTGGTAAATGAGAGAACAGCAGACCTTGGTCATAAATCTTTCTTCCACACATAGTTGGAGGTGAGCACACCTCTTAGGGATGGTAAAATCCCAGAGGCTCCTGATAATTCCTCCACTGAATTTTCTTTGTTTCACGTGAGTTCCTAAGACCTTTGTGAGTCTTGTGAGACCCAGGATAGTGCTGCTGTCTAATGGCCAGGACGTAAGTGCAGGGATCTAGATGTCACCGTGTCCTATT